GACCCTACATGAGACTCAGGAATGGTGGGTCCCCCATGCTGTCCACATTTCGAGACCCTCAGACGAACCATGGTTTGGACCGAGATGCCGAATGGCATCTGATGAGAAGTACAAAGCATCGCTAAACTTCGAACGGAACCCTACTGAGAACAACAAGGCAGTCCATAGACAGGCTGCAGCTCAAATGGTAGCCACCCAGAAGTGGGTTATACGGCAGTGGGAAAGAGACATCAACCAAGCTAAAAAAGTTGTTAAGTTGGAAGCAAACCATGGTGGACTCTAGTCTAAGAAAAGCAAGGAGAAACTAGAGAAGGAACTATCCCACCTATAACCACACAGGATGGCACTATGGCACTCACTACTCAGCAAAAGGTAAAGGTATTAGCACCGTGGTCGAACCCGACAGACCAGCCCCAAAACAGCCAATAATGACACGGGAGAAATGGACCAAATGAAGACAACAAAGACAGAAGTAGAAAGAATCCTGAAGGACCTCAGTGAAACAAAAGTAGTACGTCGAAAATAAGCCCACGCCTACTTAAGAGAACTTTCTAAAGAACTTTCAAACCCAGTTGCTCTTCTGTTCAAGAACTGTATACAGCAAGGAAAATGGCCACCATTGGTGCACGTCTCATAGAGCATCTTAATGAGCACAACCTGATGTGTTCCCGCCAGCTCGGATTCAAGAAAAAACATTCGGCTGCTGATCTCCATCTCCTAACATCTGCCTGGAGTAATGCCCTCGACCATGGCCAGAGCACTGCTGTGGTAAGCTCCTAATATCGAGGGAGCCTTCGATCGAATTTGGTACGGTGGCTTGCTTGAAAATCTACATGAAAAACTACGTGGAGATGGCGCACTTCTCAGTCTGCTTACTGACTATCTTACCAACAGACACCTAAGTGTTGCCCTAAATGGAAGAAAATCATCGCAGTACGCAATTAGAGCAGGCGTACCACAGGGGAGTGTCCTGGGGGCCTGTCTTGTGAAACACATTCCTTAATGATTTATTGCTTATGGTTCCTGTTGCGCAAGCTTTTGCGAACGATATAACACTGCCAGTTACTTACAATACTCAGGATGAGGCAGTGACGTCAACACACTTAACGTACTGCAAAAATCTTAACCTGAGGTAATAGATGGCAAGTGAAGTTTGCGTCTAATAAGACTCATCTAATGGTGATTACCAGAACTCTCCCAACCATTAAACTCTTCTTCGATGTTTCGTACGATAAAAACCTCACTTTCAAGACACACATTGAGAACATCGTCAGGAAAACATCAAGAAAAATTGTATCCTTGAGACGGATTTCATGGCTTCTGGATGCAAAAGGAAGAGAAGTTCTATACAAAGCCCAGATCCGCTCTGTAATGGAGTATGATCCTCTGATCCTAAGAAGCATCTCGATCTCCTCGATAGAGTCCAAGCCAGAGCCATCAGCATAATCAATGGTGAAGATCCTAGGATTCCAAGCGCTGAAGGAGCCACGCTGCAGGACATGACATTACCAGAAACAGTTTATTCCTAAATACACTAGGATGTGGCCATTCTAAGTTGGGTTCCTAGACTTCCTGTACATAGTATTCAAAGTTTTGAAACTCTTGTAAATGGAATTTACAATTTGCATATTAATTATAAACTTAGTTTTTAGCTTTAGTTACGTATATAATTACCTGTGTATTTATTGTGCTTTATAGTACTGGTTTTGCTTTTAAAGAATTTTATTTAAAAGTGTAAATTTTAGTCAATAAATTATGAGACGAAGCAGTCAAAAGCTGTTTCATATACCGGCACTGAGAGAGAGAGAGAGAGAGAGAGAGAGAGAGAGAGAGAGAGAGAGAGAGAGAGAGAGAGAGAGAGAGAGAGAGAGAGAGAGAGAGAGAGAGAGAGAGAGAGAGAGAGAGAAGATAGATAGAATAATAGTTAGATAGAGAATGAAAGGAGAAGAGAAAAGGGGATAGAGAGAACTAAAAAGAGAGAGAGGGAAACAGAAAGATTAATGTTTCAGTAATCTCGAAAAAGCTAACCACTTTCGTAAAGAAACATCTACACATACATCTGGAGGAAGAATTAATATACCATTTATGGTTTTCATTTCCCTTGTGTATCCGTGTCATCTGTCTACGTATTTGTCTTTCGATCTACCTTTTTGCCTGCTCATCATTTTATATATGTTCTTGTGTATATGAAAATGAATAATAATTAGGTAAACGTAGCGAAACCTAAAAACGAAAAGCAGTATGAAAATGTGTATATGTATATAGTATTCATAATAAAAAGCTAAAATATAATCCTTTATTAATATCATTATTTTTTATCTCTCTGAGCACGCACACACACACACACACACACACACACACACACACACACACACACACATATATATATAAAACTGAGGACACATCAGTAAACCATTCAATCATTCTCTTAAATGAGATAAACGTCTAACCAAAATATTTCCAGCATTATGGCTATTCAGGAAGGCAAGCTAAAAAATCTTTTCATATACACACGCGCACATTCATATATTCATACATGCATTTACCTGTATAGATTCAACGCACATTCTATTCGTCAATTTTCACATGCTCACATCTTAAGTAGATGTCATTCGGAAACAGTGGTTAAGAAATGGATATCTTAGGTCTTGATAGTTCATTGCATGATTTAACCAGAAGGTAGGTGCTTCTTAATGTTTATACATGGTGTGGAAAAGTTTGTTTCCTTTTGGGGGAAATAGATACTCGAAGTCGCAGCTTTATATTATTATTGTGCAAATCTTTGGTCTATGTCTATGCCCTGTAAACACATTCGGCTGTATGAGGAACTACATTGAAAGACGAGAAGTCGACGCCGTTCCTGCGGAAGACGGAGGCGCACCTGTCAATCGCTGGACCGGAATTCTGAGGAGTTCGGGAGAAGACGAAGCCGAACTCGGACTTGTACTTGTCTGTGCCAATGCAGGAATACACACAGGAGTAGCTGTCGTAGTCAGTCTCGATCACTTCATAGGGAGCGGCGAAAGCTGTTGGGGGAAAAGGGAAAATATATAGTTTGTCAGTATCTACTGAAAAATTTAACAATATTGAAGAAGGTAACATTTAAATGTACACAAGAAAGAATGTTAACACGTACCAGAAGGGAAATCAATGAGCATGTGGGCAGCAGGAAAGTCCTTTGTGGGGTAGATCTTGCCCTGTAGTCTGAGGTACTCGTTGTTGGGGCTGAATCCAGCTGTGGTCACCTTGAAGCTGTAGTCAGAGTCAGAGTAGTCGTAGTTGGAGTGGATGCAGCGAGTGAATGGTTGATAGGGGTTGTCGATTATCTGGATCTGATACCAACGTCCAGCATACTGTTGGGGAACATATGTTATTGAGATAATTTGCACAATTATGTTGTGATCGACTTGCAAATGAAGATACCATTAATAAGCAATACATTGCAAAACAACTCACTCTGCGAAGGTCGAAGTTATCTTGATTTGCCACTTTGGCACAACTTCCAGGAGCTACGAAGTCTGGAATGCCGTCGGCTGCGACAAGAGCCACGAGGGCAGCAGTTACGAGTGCCTTCAACATGGTGGCTTGTGTGACTCGTGGTGGTGAGTCTTGATCCTTATATCCCATGTCACAGGTAGAGCAGAGAAAGAGGCGGAGCATCGAGTTACGAGAATCATCGTTCGGATTTTTTTTTTTTTCAAATAGCTATATTTATTAAAACATTCGAGCTGACAACTAATCTTAATTCCTCTATCTCCATAATATTTTGGACCGTGACTTTCCTCTACGGGATACACCTTGTATATAAAGGCGCTTGAGAAGCTCTCACGCCACTCAGACTGCAGGATCATCATGAGGACTTCGCTGCTGTGCCTCGCTCTCGTTGCAGTGGTCGCTGCCGACAGGATCCCTGGCTTTGTCGTGCCGGGAAAATGTCCTGCGGTCGACGAGAGAATGCTCTACTCTCAACAGAAGCCGAACTTTCAAAGGGCAAGTTGATTTATATGTAAAAATTATGTAAGGTAATTTGAGTTTATACTTTCACACACACATATGGTATATTTATAGATATTTGCGTATGTATAATATATGTGTATGTGTTAGTCTGTGCGTGTGTATAGGCTTACAGATAATCATATATACAAATGTTTGTATATATAATATATATAGATATAATATACATGCATATATACATATATATATATATATATATATATATATATATATATATATATATATATATATGTAAATATACACATATATATATATATATATAATATATATATATACACATATATATATATATATATATATATAATATATATATATATATATTATATATATATATAAATTGATAGTCATTGAGGTAGATCTTTCATATTCAATTTGCCACAATTCCTATGGTCCAAATTTCTTCAATTACAGTATGCTGGCACATGGTACGAAATTGCACTCACAAACAACCCCTATCAACTGATTAAGCAGTGTGTCCGCAACGAATATACTTATGGTAAGTTTCTATTTGATTCTACTTTTCATTTTTAAGAAATTTCTTATTGGTTATAGACCTATTAGAAAAATTTATGCATAATTAAAAATTTATCCACAGATGGAACCAAGTTCAATGTCAGGACCACTGGTACTGATGCCAATGGAAACGCAATCACACGTAATGGTCAGGTTCTGCCAAATCCTTTCGGAGAGCCTCACCTTTCCGTGGACTACGAAGCATGTAAGTATGCACAAGAAAATTTGTGTGTAAGTATATATGAAATGAATGTGCATAAGTTATCCAAACAAGGAAATCTATGATATGATTAACGGTACAATTCCCCTGTTTCCAGCCTGGATGGCTCCCTACGTGATTCTGGACACTGACTACGAGAACTTCTCGTGCATCTATAGCTGCGCCGGCCACAACTTCGGCTACTACGCCGACTTCGCCTTCATCTTCTCCCGCTCGCCAACTCTCGCTGACAGATATTACAGGCGTTGTGAAG